CTCTGACCCTGTGCCCACCACGAGCTGCTGTGTTGGGCGACGGTGTTCTGTGACATCACTGCCTGRAGGGGGAACATTTGGGGTTTTTGTGTGGTTTTGTATCCACCTTGAAGCACTCCCATTATTTTTACCTTCTGAAATCTGTCTGACCATGCYTGACAATGCCGGGAACGATCCCTTCTCTGTCTCCTGTGACACACAATTGTCTGAGTGACTGTCAGCATTTGGAATGTCTGTTAACACTTCTTTATCTCACCATAAATTGCCGCATGGAACATAAGTGTGGTCTCCTCAGCACATAAAAGGGAAAATCACTGAGATTGGTTAAGGGCTGTGTCTTTCAGCCATGGGAGACTCAAAAGGAGAAATTTTTTTGTTTAATAAAACACATTTTTCTCCAATGACAAACTCCTTGCAGGAATGCAGCCACAACAATTTGCTGCTGAGCTGTGCAGAGCAATATCTGAGCACTGTCTCTAATTCCATACAAATCATTGCAGTCTTCTTTTATAAACCTATTSTTTGTGTTCCTCTTTGCTGTGATTGGAGATTAGTGGGACAACATCTCCACTGTCTTACTGGTGAATCTGTAATTTAATTCGCCTATCTGACTAGCCCAATGAGCTTGCATTCTTTTGATTTTGGGAAGCTCTTTAATTGTTTGGGGTGGATTTTTCTTTTAATCGATTGAGGTTTTTTTGGTGTGGGTTTTTTTTTTTTTTTTTTTTTTTTTTTTTTTTTTTTTTTTTTTTTTTTTTTTGTTTTGTTCCTTTGTGGCACTTGCTGCTCTTGCTGCCCTCCCTCACTCATTAATTTGTGTTTTCTGGGTTCTGTCCCCGCTGCGATGGGATCTGTGGTGTGAACTGCCCTGGCTGTTCCCTGGGCAGGAGTGMCACTCTCTGGCCAGAKGATATAGTGCCATCAATTGAGGGAATTTACAGGGTCCTTGGAGTGCTTTTAACSTCTGATTTGGAAATGGAAAAACAGGGAGTCTCAGTACATGAAACCAGGAGAGAACCAACAATCAGCTGGAGGTCACAAGGCATGCAGCAATGTTGGCAGTTTAGGGTTCTTTAGTAAAAAAGAGACACCAGTTGTGTTCCTTTTACATCCTTATGCACCCACAGCTTGGCTCTTTGTCTCATTTTTATCTTGACTTTTTGGTAAACCTCTTTTTAGTTGCCTTTAGAAGCCTAAAAGGAGATGTGGTTAAGATGTAGTGATAATATCTACACGGTATTTAAGAAAGAGAGAAAAAACTAGATCTGGATTTCCAGCTCCACTTGACAAGTCACTAACCACTGTTCTCTCTTTACAGGTTTCTCCTGGTGCTGATTTGTTTAATATTCAGTGTGCTGTCCACTATAGAGCAATATTCWGAGTTTGCCATTGGAACCCTTTTCTGGATGGTAAGTGAACTTTTTTTGGGAAGGGSTGATCAGTTTGACTAAACCTGAATTGCTTTGGGTGAGCAAGGGAGATAACTCTTAAAAATCCTCATGCAAAGAATGCTACTAGGATATTTAAAAGAGTATCTGCTTTCATTAAAGAAAGATCACAGTTTAACGGGGCTGATTATTTTCTCTCGAGTTTTAATTCTCTAATAACACAGTTATAATTTTATCTGGTCCTATGATGATTCTGTGGAAAAAAAGTATTTTTAGAAGTTGCCTTCTGGATTAGGCTTTTGCCTCTGCAGCCTGAGTCTGTAATGTTTTCCTGATGATCCAGGAATGTGTCAGTTTTGATTTGTAAATGGCATCTCGATCTTTCAGGATRTGGCATGAAAAAACAAACTACACAGGGCCAGGTGAACTTCCTSTTTTGAGCATTAATCTCACCGTTTTCGTGGTTAGAGGTCATATATTTTTTCTACCAGGAGAGGTCACCGTGGTAGTTTGTAAAGGACCGATTTTTATTTTTATTTAATTGCAAAAAGAAAACTCCTTATCTTGTGGCACTGCTTTCACTAACTGTGCTGGTCTGAACMCTAGAACCAAATACTATTTTCATCATCCACACGATGTTTGTACACACTGAGTAACAGCACAATAAATAATCAGTTTGTGTAGTGACAGYTTTACAGGTGTAAGGGAAACGTTTTCTCTGATTTAGTGTTTTGATGTTCATTACTTTTTAATTTTTAATTTTAATTTTAAAAACACTGAGTGTGTGTTTTGCTATAAATCATATTGATTCAACTTCATTAATTTAGCTTCAATTGTGTGCCRAGAAGAATGTGGCCATTGCAATGGACTGAAGGAGGGATGGAAATACTGATTATCTCAATATGCTTTCAGTTCAGAGCACATAATCCAAATGTGGCTCAGTGCAGTGTTTTCTGGCAAAACTGTGTTTGGCAAAATGGCAAAATGGCAAAATGGCAAAATGGATGTTCTGGGTTGGACCCAGCTCTAGGTTATTTCAGTGTTGTGTCTCTGACAGGGCCTTCTTGCAATTAATTGAACCAGGAAACTTTCTTACAAAACTATTTTATATTAAAATAGCTGAAGGGTTTCTGAGTGTTCTGTCGTGCCTCCCCCAGGGMTCAGCAGTTCTGCTCACGTTCTGCAGTTTTCTCCTCTTGCTGCTGTGGCTCTGAAGGGCCACAGGACAAATCCGAGTGTTCCACTGCCATCAGCTCTGCTCCAGCAGGGCTGATCCCAATTCCAGAGCTGCTCAAGGACAAATCCCAGTGTTCCCAGTGCCATCAG